GTGAGCCGCAGGGCTCCGGCCAGGGTGGGGCTGGGCGGTTCAGGGTCTCTGCCAGTCTCCACGGTCCAGGGTCTGTTTCTGGTCCTCCCGGGAAGCGCGGGCCAATGAGGAAGAACGGCCGCGGGGGTTCCGGCTCCTCGGGAGGAAGCCCCCTGCCGTTGCTCACCTCGAGGGACAGCTGGGCAGGGATGGACCGCGGAGCCCAGCGCAAGGGGATGCCTCTCGGAGGGGCTGTCCCGGGCAGAGCCCCGCGCCGCTTCGGGGCGGGCGGTACAGGAAACCTGCTTAACTGGGCCAGGAGGGAGGCTTTACCACATCCGCGAGTTGGGCCTGGGTAGTGCAGATGCGGGGCTCGCCCGCCTCCCCTGCCGAGTCACCTGCCTCCTTAGTGCCTGCGCTGGGGACCGAGAGCACCCACCCCTTTGGGCTTCAGGCGCTCAGGAGAGTATTTGCCGCTTCTGGAGTCGCTGGTAGCTTTGCCTTAAGTCTTTCAGACACTTCTTAAATTTGACTGTTGGAGCTGAAAGGGTTGTGAAGTAGCCGCTTATCTCTGTCAGGGAACTGCACTGGGGCGCTGGAATCCCCTCAGAAGTAGTACCCTCGGGTTCTGATTACTAGACACTCGGGAATACTGAATTTTATTCTATTGCTGAAAACGATGTTTCAGGTAGGACTGGCTTCTGCACACTTTACCCCAAAAGCATCATACAACCTGAGGACCCCGGGGTTACTGAGACCGGCAGGCAGGCCTGGGCTGCAGTGCATCCAAGCTAAACGCCCATCGGGTCCAACTCCGCAGCGCTCTGTTTGCTGCTTCCATGGAGCTTACCCTCTCGCTGAAACATTTGCCTGGTCTTTCAGTTGCCTACCTTCTTTCCCTGCTAGAATGCAGGTTCTAGTAAAGCAGAGTCTGTCTGTCCCACCCACCCCACTGTAGGTTCTCAGTACACACAAATGGGATGAGTAAATGCAAACTTCTCAGTAAATATGAGGAGAGTGATTTATAGCTGTGATTATAACTGATTTTGATGTTCATCTTTGTCTTTTTTGTATTGAGAAAATTCCCAATTGGTAGTGAGGACTGTTGATGAGCACCTACTAAGCAGCAAGTGTTTGCTGGCAACTTTGTAGAGATCACCTCATTAAGCATTCCTTCAACTAACTAAATTGCTTTTTAAATCATTTTGTTTACATTTATTTACTTGTGCACATGTTGGCTTGTGCTTGTACAAGTGAGTACGTGGAGGTCCATTGGAAGACAGCTTTCAGGGGTTGCTTCTTTCTTTCCACCATGTGAGTTCCAGGGATCAAACTCGGGTCATCAGACTTGGCAGCAATCACCTTTTACCTACTCAGCCGTCTCTCTGGCCCAAGGTAGATTATTTTTTAACCAATTGGAAATTAAGGCTTCTTGTGGGTTACTCAATTTCCCCAAGGTTATCTAGGCAGACCTAGAATTCTAGTCTGTTTTCTTCTTGTTGTGTTGGGCCACTTCCAAGAAACTAAATTATGGTTTTCATCATTACGGCCAATGGACATTTAGATTTATTTGCAGCAAATGCTGTATTGCTCAGCCAAAAGATTTGCTTTTATATTACATTTTCAGTAATGGCTAATAGTTTTGTTGTAGGCTGCACAAGACATTATAGCATACTCTTTTGCATCTTGACAGACAGTGCTGGGTTCAAGAATGTGTCCAGGGTCAGTAGTAATTCCCTGAACCCTTCGTTAGCCTTTCTGACTCTGACCCTTAGCTCCTTCCACTATAATGGCTCCTGCCCCACTGTTTAATCAGATGTTAACCCAAAGATAGAGCCTGGTGATAGAATGTGCTATAGCTATCTGAGGCTCTATCCGGTGCCAGCATCAATGCACCAGGTACACTGTTTCTGAATGGTTAAGGCTCTTTCTTACTGCTGCCATTGATTTTTGTGGTTGAGTGTGTGGTTTGTGGGCCTGTTCAGTTGGAGGCTTTTAATAGGGGAGGAAAGGAAATCCTTCTTTCACCCAAATCTGAAGAGAAATCAGACTGGTTATACCCACTGTGATGGATGAACTCTGAGAAGTGATGCCTTATACTTCTTTAGGAAACTGCTAGAAAACTAGGTGGTCCCTCTGTTCTCAGATATAGGAACTACTCACACCAGAAGGTTCTGCAGTCACCTTTCAGTAAAATAGCAGTATTTTAACTCTTTCCACTGCTGCATGAAACTGAGGGTATGGAGAAGTTGGGAAAGAGCAATGCGGCTGCCTCCCGAAGAGCTAACAGCAAAAGGCCAGAGAAGCAGGAAATCTTTTCTTCTTTCTTCTTTCCTTCCTTGTGGGGGCAGTACAATGTTTGTCTCTGCATGAGGGTCTGGAGAACCCATCATTTTATTTGTAATGTGCTTCTTGGCAGGACTACATTTTCTTAATTACCATTCCCATTTCAAGAGCCCAGGGAAGGCTGGACTAGAACGTCCTGGAAGTGAGAGGGGTGTGAGACATCAGGGATTGTGGAAGCTGTTAAGTTGAAAGAGCCTTCCATGCATAATTGAGAGCCTACAGTTTCCTGCAAATCCCTTTCCTGTCTAAATCCACTTATTCATCAGCTTTCTGGCTTTCTCCTCTAGAAATGCCTTTCTTGCCTTCTCAGCTACTACTTACTGTTCAGAACAAATTCAGGTTTACCCAGGCTTTGGTTTCAGTGTCTTTCTCCTGGGTCTTTCCTGTTACCCCTCAGTGCCTTAATTCAGGGTCTTCCCTCTGCACTAACATTGCCTACAAGTGCATTTTCCTTCCTCTCTTTTATACCGTACACACCAGGCAAGGATTTCTTTTATATTGTTAAAGGATTTCTTTTATATTGTTAATTATTGGGTGACTTATATTGTTACCAATATTATTAGTTACAGCAGCAACAGTAGTTGAACTTAAGTGTGACAAAGCACTGTCACCAGTGTGTGCATCATCTCACTCAGTCTTGAGAACCACATCAAAGCAGGTGTGCTTTACCCTCAGTGTCCAGGTGAGGCTAGGAAAGTTCAGTTTAGTTTATAACTAATAAATGTCCAAGTCAAGAGTCAAACCCCAAGTCCTTTTCTCTATCCATTTAGTATAGACTCCTTGGTTTAAATCAGGATTCAAGAGCTTGGGTTCAGCGTTGGCTTTCACTCCTCCATTCCTGACCCCTGTGCTGGTGACCTGACCCTCATTGTCAATGCATCTTGTCTTTGCCCATGCATTCCTGTTGTCTACAGCGCTCTATCACTACCTTGCCCGTGAAAACTTACATTTTTCAAGGCTGAGCTCATGAATTACTTCTGCCAGCATAATCTCTGAACCCAAACTGTCAGAGCACTTTAAAAAAGTACGAATGAGTTCCCAGTTCTGATAGCTGAGTAGGTTGTTGGTTCCTTTCCTTTCAGCGCTCTGTACCTTTTGTATCTATACCTTCTTCCTATTCTCCTGCTTTCTGGCCTACTGTTTATTCAAATGTGTTGCCCTTTGCTTAGAGTTTATTTATTTATTTTTATTATTTGTGCATGTATGTGCGGGGCATGTGTCCATGTTTGTGTATATCTGCATATGTGTATGCAGGTGCACATGCGTCTCTGTGTCCACCTGTCCCAGCCCCAAGATTGCTGTAAGCTCTGAGGATTTGAACTCTGGTCCTCATGCTTGCTGTGCAAGCACTTCACTGACTGAGCCGGATTTTAAACATCCCTTTCCTAGATTTTAAACATCTTGAAGAAAGGTGAGTCTGTATTCCTCTTGTTTCTGTCCTTAACAGTCTGGTGTCCTATGCATACAAGGTATTCAATTAAAAAGAATGTTATCCAATTGTATTTGGTTACATTCTATTAAAAAAATAGTTGGAAGGTGTTATTTTGTTTTCTAGGTTCATTTGTTCTATTTTTTTTAAATAGTGTGTTACTGTGCACCTCCAAGCTGTCCTTAAACTGACTATCTTCCTGCCTCTGCCTGCCAAGTGCAGATTACAGGCACCATCCTGCCCAATCTTGTTTTCTAGTGTTAGATCTGTAACACTTCAGTGTTATTGCCATCATACTGAAGCAGCAGAGCCTCTATCCTGAGGAGCTCACAACCCTTATATACAACAAACATTACCTGTAGAATAAATATCAAGTTACTAGTTTTCTATCTATGGTAATGTTGTTGTTACTTTAAAAAGTCTATTACAGGGCTGGGGAGATTTGATAAAGTGTTTTCTTTGCAAGCTTGAAGACCTCAGTTTGATTTTCAGAGTATGTGTGTGTGTGGTGGGGGGTGCTAGAGAGATGGGTCAGTAGTTAAGAGCACTGTTTGCTCTTGCAGAGGACCCAGATTTGGTTCCCAGTACCCACATCGAGGCTAACAAACCTGTAGCTCAAGTTCCAAGGGAATCCAATACCCTTTTCTGACCTCCGCAGGCATTGCATGACACGGGTGCACTTACACACGTGCAGGCAAAACACTCCTCTACATAAAATAAAAATAACTAAATAAAAAATTTTAAAAAGATGGTCAGTACCTGAGGGATGGTACTCAAAGTTGTCTTCTGGCCTCCACACACATGTGTACAAGTGTGCATGCACCAGCACACATGCAAACATGCAGCACACACATGCACACACACACAAAAATGTATCACAGTCATTCTGGAATTCAATCTAAATTTTTGTGGCTATTTTATTGATTCATGAATATTTCACACTTCAACCCCATTTCTGAGATCTTTCTGAATCAGCTTCGCTTCCTGTCCAAACTTATAGTTCACTAGTCATCACCTGAGCTAAGTGCAGCACACCCCCCTACCCCCAGGGCCATGCAGGATGGGGATGGGCATCATCTTTTGTCTTGTTTACAATCTTTCCTCCTCATTTCCATTTGCTTCTTCATTCCTAGACATGTGTCATGAATTAGCTCGGATACAAGGAGCCTTCCTCTACCTCCTCCAAGTTGGAAAGTGCTCCCTTCTCATCATGCTCTGTGCCTACCCTCTGTACAGAGTGGTCATC